ACACAACGCATGCTAACTTCAACGCTACTTTCCCACCGGGCTCAGCCGCTCGGAGGCAGAAGATTTAAGGGCTCACATTTTGTTATGAGCAAAGACGTCGCATATTGTTTCGGGCCTGTACGGATCAAGAGAGAGCAACGGCGGCATCGTTACGAGTGGCATGGATATTGGGAAAAAAGAAAAAGCCGTTTACAGACTCGGAGATAGTCAAGGAATGTATGCTGGCATCCATTAATGAGGTGGTAACAGATGAAAAAACCCGAAAAAGCGTTATTGATTCGATCAAGCAAATTCCAATATCTGACACGTCAAATATGAGGAGAGTCGAGTCCCTTGCCTCGGATGTTTTCTAGACACTTTTGGACAAGCTGAGGAAGATTGAGGTGATGTCTTTGGCCGTGGATGAGTCGACAGATAACGGTGATGTTGCGCAGCTGTGTCTCTATGTGCGATTTTTTGATGGAGAATGTTTTTGCGAGGATCTGCTTGGACTAATTCCTCTGGAAGGGCACACCACTGGTGAGATTTTATTCACCAAAATTGCTTCATTCTTTGAGGAGAACAACTTGGATTTGGCGCACGTCAACATGCTGGTGACGGATGGCGCGCCCTCGATGGTGGGCAGGGATCAGGGGCTTGCCGCGAGGATGGCAGCCGTGGCTCCACATATGAGATCGCTACATTGCCTCATCCACCAAAGCCTTCTGTGTGCCAAACTCAGTGCTAAGTTAAAAGAGACCATGGACTCTGTCATGGCAATTATAAACTTTATCCGTTGCACCTCCAGTTTACAGCACCGCCTTTTCCGCCAGCTGTTAACTGACATGTCTGCTGAATACAAAGATTTGCTCATTCACAATGACATTAGATGGCTTAGCAAAGGAAATGCATTGAAACGTTTTTGTGAACTAAAAGAGGAGATTCTGGTGTTTCTCCAGTCTTCAAAAATGAAAAAAGCTGGCAAGTTTCTGTCTCTGATGGGAAATGATGATTTTAATGCCACTGTTTGCTTTTTGAGTGACGTTTTCCATCATTTGAATCAACTCAACATGGAGTTGCAGGGCAGGGATAAAATAGTCTCAGAACTTGAGGAGAAACTTCATGCTTTTCTAAGAAAGCTCTCACTCTTCTCTGCTGATCTTTGTCCTGGGAAGATGCTCCACTTCCCCACATTAAGGAAATCTGGTCTGCAAATGACTGAGGTGATGTCAGGCTTTATTGACTCACTGAAAAACAACTTTTCCACCAGGTTCAATGATTTCAGCATCTCCAGCGAAGTGGTGAGATATGTTAAGGACCCTTTCTGTGTGAATGTTGAGACAGACTTTGCATTGAAAGGAAAGGAGCTAGTACCATCATTGGATGAAGCTTTTTTACAACTGGAACTCATTGACATTCAGTCGTCAGATGACTTGCGACAGTCATTGCAGCAGGCAGGTTTTGAAAAATTCTGGACTCATGTAGTCAGCCAAGAAAAATTTCCACACTCAAGGGGTCTTGCACTTTTTCTTATGACAATGTTTGGCTCAACATACACTTGTGAGTCGTCATTCTCACACATGAATGCCATTAAAACTCACAATCGCATATCCCTCACTGACCAGCATCTGCAACACTGCTTACGCATTGCCCTGACAACATATACACCTGACTTCACTGCTCTTGCTAAGTCAAAAAAATGCCATTTCTCTCATTAGATGCAAATGTTGGCAAACTACATGCAAAGTGACAGTCATGTTAGTCAAACAAGTAATGAGGATTGATTTTTGAACAGTATGATGCAATTAACATGTTATTCACCTCCACTGTTAAAAAAGTAAATGGCAATTGTTGTTCTAACACACAATTGTATTGTAATCCAACTCAGAAATATAAATTTGACATCTAACAAATAAATACATGTTTGCCCAACTCAAATTCTCAGAAGTTGGTTTAACAAGGAGTTTTAAATCGCCTATACAAGATTTTTTGAGTTCCCTCAACTGTAAACTCATGGGCATGCGCACTGCTTATGTTCATGGACACGCCCACTACGGTACGGGGTTTCCTATCCCTTTCTTCAAGTGCACAGCCTTTTTCCCTCGCGTTTGAGAAGACTGGCGGACATTGTGCTTTTATGCATCTGGAGAACCATGGAGGAACGACCCTGGGACCTTACCAGTTTTCTGAATCTTTTCTTTTCCCGGTGAGTGCTGCAAAGTACAGACAGTTAGCGGTTAGCTCTGTGAGTTAGCATTCCCTTGTGGTGTATTGCCACCGAGTTGAAGCATGAGTTCACATGTTTTTCACGTTCTGATGAAAGGAAAAGCCGCGCGCGTGCGTGTTTATAGTGCGCGTGTGCGCGTGCGTGTTTATGCCGCGCATGTGCAGGTGAGTGTTTATAGAGAAAAGAGTGTGCCTGTTATTTTCATTGTACAAATGAAAAGAGACATTAAGTTGAGTGTAATAACTTATGAAATTTCTAAACTGTTTTATGTAGTGCAGTGTTGTTGCACTCAGGCACAGAATATTACAAGACTACATTATTTTACTTTCTTAATCCGATGTGGATATTTACTGTTTAACTGTAAGTGGTTTTATAATTATTTACATGTGGATTTTTTGCTTTCATGATTTTATTTGCTTTAAAAGAAAAACAGTGACATTAACATTTTATATGTTAACCCTGTAATGCAGCAGTTAATTCGTAATGAGTTAGAAAAGTTACATTACACACTGAAATTTATCATACTTGGAGAGATATAAACTGTACAGTTAAGAACAAGAAGTGAATGGATTTAACTAAGCCCTGTTGTGCTATGCAGGCAGGGTTTTTGGATACCCTGGATTCTGGATTCTCTCCTTAAATGGAGATGGCGAGCCAACCGTGTGAACATCTGGATTTGGACTGAAGAAGAGGATTTGGACTGAAGAGGACTTTCTTTTCTTGCATTCATCGTCCTGTCGGAGTGGTAGGACTAAAAAGAAAAACTCAGAGATAAAAAGGGGAAACCTTTTTCTTTTTCCGTTGGGAAACAAGACATTTTATTTCATTTAATTTTTTTTAAAGGGTGCACCCAATTTAAAGAGACTACAATTGAAAAAATCAAACTGAAGTCCGTCCAAATATGTAAAACTGTTATTTTTTCATATATGTTAATACACTTACTTCACAAAAAATTACCTGTGTGTTTTCCTCTTACTAAATCGGTGTCTTACTGTTTTTTCCCTCATCATCACTCCCTCTTACGAATCTAGAACATTCTGGTCCAGTGTCAGGTTACTTTGATCTGTGCAGTTAAGATTATGTTCTTGAACATGGTTTTATACTGTATCTATTGATACAATGTTTGACTTCAAGCAATAAAAATGTTGTATTAACATAATTTTTTGTGTGTTGAATGATTGGTAGTGAAGACGATTGGTAGGACTAAAAAAACTGAGTTGATAGAACTCAACTTGCAGATAACACTACAAAATCTGAGTTTGTAGAACTCAAAATCTATATGTCAAACTCATAAAACAAAGTTGATAGAACTCAGAACTTAAAGGTGAAACTCAAAAACCTAAGTTGGTAGAACTCAAAATTTCTATGTAACACTCCAAAAACCTAAGTTGGTAGAACTCAAAATTTCTATGTAACACTCCAAAAACCTAAGTTGGTAGAACTCAAAATTTCTATGTAACACTCCAAAAACCTAAGTTGGCAGAACTCAAAAATCTTTGTAAACTCAACCACAGTGAATTTAAGTAAGGAAAACTCAAAAAACCAAATGCATCACGTTGCCTAGAAAATTTAAGTTCTGTCAACCTCTATTTTTTTTTCAGTGTCATAATATGCACTTAATGTTTTTTTTTTATATGGTATGGCTCAACTGAACTGAATATTGAGGTGTCTGATGCAATTTCAATATAGGCAGATAAAGGAAAAAAAATGTAAAGAGAGGTCAACTAAGGGACTGTTACAGTGATTTTTTTTCTCATGTTAGCAGGGCTAAAATGGCTGAGGTGATTATTGTTGAAAGCAGTTTGAAATGTGCCTTGATAAAGTTCACTGTTATGTTGTTGTAATTAGAAGCATACTATGCAGTTTTGTTTTTTATATTTGTTGGTGCACTTGGAATTGAAGTTGTTTGTCAGTTAAATGAATGAAAATGTAAACAACTGACAGTAGTAGTCCATGTGTGGATTTATGTGTATATGTTGTTCTGTATTTACAAAACAGAATATATTGACTTCAGTATGTTGTAATTTCTTTTTTTGTTGCCGTGATTACTCATATTCTCTGGCCCCTTATTTTGCCTCAGATTCATGAACTGGCCCCAATTCCAAATTAATTGAATAGCCCTGCACTAGGCCATAGTTCAATGATTGACTTTGCTGTTGTTTCATCTGATCTGCGGCCGCACGTCTTGGACACTTGGGTGAAGAGTGGGTTGGAGCTCTCCACCGACCACTGCCTGGTGGTGACTTGGCTCAGATTGTGGGGGAGGACGCAGGTCAGACCTGGTTGGCCATGGAGAAAGACTTCCGTAACATACGACGTCCCGAGTCAAGATCAGCAGCACACCACCCCCACTATAAATAGTGTTGGTACTGCACTGCTTCCCCCTCCTGAGATGCCGGATTGTGGAACGTATTGTCCCCTGTGGCACTCCTCTGCTCAGACCACTTGATTAGACAGTTGACTTTTCAATCTCAAAAACTGTGTTCTGTTGTCAGGTAGCCTCTGATCCAGGCGATTGCTGGTGCCTCTACCTGAGTCTTTTGAAGTTTCTTACAATGTAAGTCAGGCTGAATTGTGTTGAATGGACTTAAGAAATCAAATAACATGATCCTCACAGTGATGTCTGCCTTGTCTAAATGACAGTGGATTTGTAGAGGCAGATGTATGATAGTATCATCAACTCCAACTCCATGGCAATAAGCAAACTGCAGGGAATATCATGGTTCAGTGTCATAAAAACATAAAAGTTGGACCCAGTATTCAAGGTGAGACAGACAGTGGGAAAGTTAAAAACGTTTATTAACCCAAAACACATATCTGAACAGAAGTTGGTTGCTGTGGATCTGCGGACCACTGCGGCTGCAGGGGGGAGGCAGGGCGCTGCCTACTGACACTCTGGAGGGAAAAACACAGGTAAGTGACCACGATCATCTGATGGGAGATGATTATCCATGTGAATCACTTACCTGGTTAACAGTTCAGTTCATCTTCTCTGAGGAAGGTATGATTCAGCCGATGGACTGCCAAACAAGCTGCGGCACAGAGCCACCCAGAGTGTCCCTGATGCAGCAACCTCAGTGAGCAGGCAGGAATCTGATCCAGGTCAGGGAAAACAGATCAGAAAGGAAAGTTCAGGAATCCTGGAGTCCGCAGCCTGGTCAGGTCTTCTGATTTAAACAGGACAGGCAGTCTCAGCGGTTGAGGGACAGAGAAAAGACTTGATACAAGGATAACTGCAGAGCTTTAAACTGTACTCCACCTAGGAGCCAGGATTACGGGACATTAAACTTTAGTTTTCCCCATCACCTAGCCAAAACAGGAACCAAGAGCGCTCAGCAGGAAAGAGCAAGGACATGATCAGGAGATGACAAGGCAAACACTAAAAACCTCTCAACCCACTGGCCTCCGTTGACAGGGACATGAACCTTTGAATACCTAAAACTAACGAAACAAAGAAACAAAAAATATTAAACAATGATCTTGCCCTGATAGCTGGGCTGACCCGTATATAAAGCAGAACGAGCAAGTGGATGAGATGAGTGATAATTAGTGATCGGACGAAGTTAGGCAGGTGAGTGACATAAACAACTAAGGTCAGCTATCAGAGCAGATCATGAAGCTAGGCACTGATGCTTGGAATTATCATTTACTCCTGTCACCTGTCTAAGGATATGTTCACACTGCAGGCCTTGATGCCCAATTCCGATTTTTTTTTGCGTTGCCGTTCACATTACCAAATATACGCAACATGTATGTGATCTCCAGTTCATCACAGGTCAGCGTGCTCTGTGTTTATGGAAGTAAATAAGGATGCTAGTGCTGGAGTGCATCTAGCGATCTTTCCCAACCATAAAAACACAATCTTTTCAAGATGGTTAAACACAAATACTGCTCTCCGCATCATTGTCTGCCATGGTTGTTGTTTTTCTTGCTGCTTCTTCATAGCAAGACCCAGAATAGTGACCTATGTCGGGTATTAATGGCGTTCAGGTCGGATGAATGCAACCTGGCCGTTCAGACACATGTCGCATATGAAAAGATCTGATTCTTATCGGATTCAGGACATCATAGCTAAGTAGCCTGGGTCTCATCGGGTCTTTGTTGTTCAGACTGCCATGAAAAGATCAGATACAGGTCGCATATGGGCCACAAAATCGGATTTGGGTCACTTTTTGCTGCAGTGTGAAAGTAGACTAATTGGCCTGGCGGCTCATTATGCTCATCTTGTCCATCTGGTTCCTGCTGCTACCTATGCTGCCTGTTTGCCCACCATCAGCGCCAGATTATTTGAGCTGTTTGGTGGAAGTAACTCTAGCATTCTTAATATTTGTTCTGAGATACTGATTCTGACCTGTTTCTGCCTTTAATATCTGTTGTAACAGGGGAATATTTATGGGGCTTCTTCCCCTTCGTTGAATGTTGTGTGTGTGCCTGCTGAGTGAGTAGAGTGGGTCCACTGTTCATCCCTTATCAATTCCCCATTTTCTCTTGTTAAAGGGTTGATTTTTCTTGTTAAGCAGTTGCTTCCGATCACTTGTGGTCTAAGCTGAAGCATTTCACTGTTCTGGTAGGTATGGTGTTATCTACACAGTTTATGCAGTCACTTACACACTCAGTCATTTCATTGATGTCCACTATATTTGGCTGACACAGTGCATCTGAGTCTCCAGCCTGAAAACAACCTTGGAGGGATTTTTCAACATCCTGTGACCTTTGTCTTTCAGTTATCTTGAATGCAAATTGTCTCAGTTAAAGCAGCTGAAAAAAAACAAGATTGTGGTCCATTCCATTCACATAAAATATGTCTTAAGTTTTTTTTTTTTTTCCTCTGGTACTGTAGCTGTCTAACTATTGGAATGTTGGCAGTGTAGCAGAAAGTGAAGTGTGATTAAAATTCCAAGTTATTGCCACAAAGTAAAAGGCACTTTATAAGAGACAACCTAAGTGTTGGGATCTGGAGGTCTATCCACCTTTCTCCAGCAGAGGGCGCCCTAGGTCTCCTGGAGCTGAAGCTGACAACCACACCTGCGGCTCGTTTGCTCATCAGGAGACCAGCATTTAAGGAAGTGGCAGAGCAACACTCCAGTGCCAGAGTGTTAAGCCAGTTACGGTTAGCAAGCCTGAGCCAACCAACCTGTCTGATTCTCTGACTCCCCTGAAACCTGAACCTAACCTGTTTTGTCCTCTCTGCTCCCTAGGAAGAACCTGACTGAACCCTGGAACTCTGGAAGAGTTTCTCAGCTCAAACCAGCTTGTCTGATCTCAGAAGAACCTTGGAAAGTCAAACTGTCAGAACCTGCCTGCCCGCTCTCAAGAAGAGAACTGGAAAGTAACTCTAATCTGAACACTACAAAGTCTGAAGTCAAGCCCTGCCTCTGCCAAACCCTCTGCCTACCTTCTGCCTCTGGACCCTCTGCCGCTCAGCCAAAATCACTGAACAGGTACAGACCTGCATTTACTCTACTAGCAACAGTATTTGGATCTCAGCTAACCGAACTGTCCCTCTCTGCAGAGAACCCAGTGGTGACCTGTCCTGGATCTGTTTCCAACATCAGTACTTTATTCACATTGTGTTTCAAATAAACTGTTGAACTTTTTCCTCTGAGTCCGTGTGTTCTGCATGTGGGTTAGAAACCTTGGTCCCAATATGACACTAAGTAATAAAAGAAGTATAAGGAGATGGTCACAGGAAGCAAAGGAAGCCCTGCAAAGTTTGTGCATTCAAGATGTTTTGAGGCAACAGAGGGATGCACTGTGTCAGCTGGAGAAGACATCAATGCAATGAGTGTGGGATTGACTACATAAACTTATGTTTAGATAACACCATCCCTACTAGAAGAGTGGAATGCTTCCCAAATGATAAACCATGGATCACAAGCGATATGATCAATCGATGAGTGTGCATGCACGAAAGCAGTATGCTGCAGTTACATCGCTTCTGTTTGCTTTTTAACTTTCTTAATTTTATCTTCTTTTGATTGCTTTTATTTATTCATGGTGACTCTGTGAAGTATTGTCCTCTATAATCAGGTCGTTTTCAGAGTTTTTGGGCTTTTTTCATGTTGTTTTTATCATGCCGGTCCCACTGGGACATGCTGCCTTTGTTTAGTCCAAAGAACAGTTGATTGCTCTAATGCCGGCCGCCGTGGTAGCCAGACAGCTGTAATACCACCCAAACTCTGGAAGAAAACATGCCGAGGTTGCAGAGGAGGAAAGCAATATCTAGGATATTGAAAGGAGTAGATTTAAACGGTGTCTCCCCTCTGTCGTTATGGGAAACGTGCTGTCCCTTAGCAACAAGATGGACGAGCTAATTGCGCTAACGCGGAGCCAACCGGAGTACCAGGAGTTCAGTCCTAATGCCCTCATTATCATGTTGGGAGACTTTAACTCTAGATGTCCCAGAGAATTTCAGTTTTCCTGCAAGCCCCCCTCACCTCTTCAAGTTTGGTTATTCACTCTATCTTGTTAACTGTCCTTGTTGTAATGCAAATAACCTGTGATCTGAGCAGCCCTTCTACACGAGACTGGATAAGGCTGGAAAAAAACTGTCATCAGAACAAAAGCATGCTCCAAACACTTTTCTTTACTTGGCTATAAGATAAACACCACAGCCCACAAGGAGCATTACCCCCCATGGAGGAGAAGGCTGGAGGCCAAGATCAAGGCAACACGAAGAGAGGTTAGTCAGCTCTCAGACCTACAGAAAGTTGCAGGGAAGAGGTTAAACAAGCTGTCGATTCCTGAGACTCTAGAAACTTCCAAACAAAGACTCACCGCCCTGGCCCGCCCTAAAGAGATACAAGGGAGAAGCAGAAGCCAGGAGAATAAACCAGATGTTCTACACCAACCCATAAAAAGTGTACTCACAGTGGCAGGATCAGATCCTCCCAGGGCTGAGACTGAACAGTACTTGAGGAACATATGAGAGAAGGAGGCATCCCAAAACACCAATGCTCAGTTTCGAGTGGATCTAAGAACAGATCACAGCAATCTCCCAGAACAAGAACCAGTAACCATTACAACGGCAGACATCTAGGAAAGAACGGCAGGTATGAAAAGCTGGACAGCACCAGGCCCTGACATGACCCGCACCTACTGGCTGAAAAAACGAACCACACTTCATGCATGATTGGCAGCACAAATGAACCAACTGCTGATGGATGGGACCCACCCAGAATGGTTAACTCAAGGATGGACAATTCTGATCATGAAGGATCGGCAGATGTGGACAATCCCATCAAAATACCGGCCAATAACTTGCCAGGCATCATGACGGCTAAGATGAGTATGCAAATGGCTCAATACATGCACTCTTCCCAGAAGGGAATAGGCAGTAACACCAGAAGAGCCAAGCACTAGCTACTAGTGGATAGAGCAGTCACTTAAGGCTGTACGACCAGGCAGACAAATCTGTGCACTGCCTGGAATGACTATAAGAAAGCCTACGACTCAACGCCACATACATGAATACTGGAATGCTTGGAAATGTACAAGATCAACAGGACACTAATAGCCTTCATCAAGAACTCAATAAAGTTGTGGAAAACAAGTCTGGAAGCCAACGCAAAGCCAATTGCACAAATCACCATCAATTGCGGCACATATGATAGGCGATGCACTATCGCCACTGCTGTTCTGCATAGACCTGAACCCCCTCAGCCAGATCATCACAAAGACTGGCTATGGTTACCAATTCCGAAGTGGAACAATCATCAGTCACCTCCTCTACATCGATGACATCAAACTGTATGCCAGGAGTGAGTGAGACACCAACCCACTGATCCACACTACCAGGATCTACAGCAATGACATTGGAATGTCATTCGGACTGGACGAGTGCGGTTGCATGGTCTCAAAGAGAGAGAAGATGATCAGAACCGAGGGGGTTGAACTACCAGAAGGCCACATTACAGATGTTCAGGACAGCTACAAATACCTAGGGGTGCCACAGGCTAACGGAAACCACGAGGAGACAGCAAGAAAGACCGCCACAGCCAAATATCTACAAAGAGTAAGGCAGGTCCTGAAAAGTCAGCTGAATGGGAAAAACAACATCCAAGCCATCAACACATATGCCCTGCCAGTCATCAGATACCCCGCTGGTATAATAAACTGGCCAAAGATGAGATAGAGGCTACTGACATCAAGACGAGAAAGCTCCTCATAATGCATGGAGGGTTTCACCCCAAGTCCAGCACCCTAAGACTGTATACCAAGCGTAGCGATGTAGGGCTGAGGGCTAGTGAGTGCCAAGACCACTGTCCAGGATGAAACAGCTAACATCCAGGAGTACATCAGAAAAATGGCCCCCAAAGACAAATGGCTTGGTGAATACCTCAGACAGGAGAAAACCGAAAGTGAGGACAAAAAAGATGAAGAAGGAGAACCATCATGGAGGGACAAGCCGCTGCACGGCGTGTACCACAGAAAAATAGAAGTGGCTGATATAAAAAAAATCCTACCAGTGGCTGGAAAAGGCTGGACTGAAGGACAGCACAGAGGCACTAATCATGGCAGCACAAGAACAGACACAAGATCAATAGAAGGTCTACTACACCAGGCAGGACCCCCGGTGCAGACTGTGCAAAGATGCCTATGAAACAAGGCAGCACATAACAGCAGGGTGTAAAATGCAGGCAGGACGTGCATACATGGAACGACATAACCAGGTAGCTGTCATAGTGTACAGGAACATCTGCCATGAGTATGGGCTCGAAGTCCCAAGGTCAAATTGGAAGACACCTTCTAAGGTAGTTGAGAATGACCAAGCTTAGATCCTATGGGACTTCAAGATCCAGACTGACAAACTGGTGATGGCTAACCAACCAGACATCGTGTTGATGGACAAACAGCAGAAGAAGGCAGTAGTGATAGATGTGGCAATCCCAAGCGACAGCAACAGAAGAAGGAACACGAGAAGCTTGAGAAATACCAAGGGCTGAAAGAAGAGCTAGAAAATACATGGAAGGTAAGAGCAGCAGTGGTGCCTGTGGTAATTGGAGCTGTGACCCCCAAACTGGGAGAGTGGCTACAGCAGATTCCAGGTAAAACATCAGAGTTCTGTGTCTAGAAGAGAGCAGTCCTAGGAACAGCTAAGATACTGCACAGAACCCTCAAACGCCCAGGCCTTTGATATAGGACCCAAGCTTGAGGATGACACGAGGGGTGAGAAAACAGTATATATATATATATATATATATATATATATATATATATATATATATATATAAATATATATATATATATATATGTAACAGGCTCTAACCAGAGTAGAAAAAGAAGTGGGAGGCCGCGTTGCACAACTGAGCATGAAGATAAGTACATTAGAGTCTCTAGTTTGAGAAACAGAAGCCTCACAGGTCCCCAACTGCCATCTTAGTATCATAGTACCCACAAAACACCAGTGTCAACATCTACAGTGAAGAGGCAGCTGCGGGATTCTGGGCTTCAGGGCAGAGTGGCAAAGAAAAAGCCATATCTGAGACTGGCCAATAAAAGAAAAAGATTAAGATGGGCAAAAGAACACAGACATTGGACAGAGGAAGACTGGAAAAAAGTGTTGTGGACGGATGAATCCAAGTTTGAGGTGTTTGGATCACAAAGAAGAACGTTTGTGAGACGCAGAACAAATGAAAAAATGCTCCACTTGCATAGAGAACTTAGAAAACAGTGAGTCCTTCCCTGGCTTTATTTCAGTATTGGCCTCAAAATTCCCATGGACCTAGAACTCATCACTCTGATCTCCCTCTAGTGTTTCCGGTTCACCTGACTGCTGGATATTCCCCAAGCTGAGAATTTTTCTTTTTCCTCTGAGTTGTATCTGCATGTGGTAAAAATATCTGAAACCCATCATGACATGATGGGGAATTGAAGGACAAATTTGCATCAGTTGGCTTGGACTCATTTACATGTGTCTCCTACCAGGGTTTCCTAAATTGACAGCACTGGCTGCAAAAATATTGTCCATGTTTGGGACTACCTACCTTTGTGAGCAGATTTTCTCACTAATCAATATAAATAAAACAACGCTGCACTCAAAGCTCTCACATAGGCACTTAAATGAGACTGAAATTGGCCACTGCTCAGGACATGATGCTGATATTGTTGTACTTGCCCTGGCTAAATGATACCAAGTTTCAGAGGCAAATACTGATGAAAACTAAATCCTATGGCAGGTTACTGTCAATATTATATTAATAAAAATTACAGCTTTGAATATTTGCTGAGTTAATTCTGTTTAAGTTAGTACTAGCCAGTAACAGGTTTTTAACGAAAGAGTTATGTTACGTAAAATATTTCTTATGCACTCAATACATGTTATGTAAGTTTTTCTATATGTATACATTTTATGAATCAACAAGAAAGGTGGCAAATGTACTTAATTAAATGCTTGTTGACAAAAGCTGACACTTCAAATGTGTGAAGCCAGATAAGTTCTAACAGCTTCCCAGATGTGGAAAATTGATTTTAAATCAATTCTTAATCTGTATATGTTTGATGTATTTTGTCATGTAGGGCAGTATTTTTAAGTTCCAAAAACTGTGAATAAATGTTTCACAACATGATTCAATCCCTGATCAGTTTTTATGCATGATGCTCTCAAATAAATGTTTGTAGAAATTGCACATACTTTTCTTAAATACTCTGAGTTTATTCATAATGTATTTTGTAAAAGGGACATTTGTCAATAACAGGTCCACTTCTATTAGTTCAATTTAATCTTGCATTGAGTTTACTTGAGATCAGATTAAGCTGTATGCAGCCCCTAAACCAAAATTAGTTTTACACCCCTGCTCTAAAGCAAGCTCAAGCAGAACATTATCAGAAATATGTGGCTCAGGGATGAAGAAGATCACAGCCTTTAAGCAAAAAGATGACCACACAGGTGGAGGTCTGGGCAGAGCAAATACACTGAATACATTCTTCAACATGTTCAGTTTAGGAACAAGCTCAGGATCCTTCTCTCTTGACTTCTGTTGGCTTATCTCAACAAGCAGCTATCAGGACCCCCTGCAATTTGCTTATTGCTGTGAAGCTGAAGTTGAAGATGCCATCATTACCTGCTTAAACAAACACATTGTTGTTTAAACAGGAAAGACAGCACTGGGAGGACCATGTTCTTTGATTTCTCCAGTAGATTTAACATGATTTAGTGTTATTTATATTGTGAGAAACTTCAGAAAAACCACAGGGGGCGGTACTCTCACCATTCCCTTTTACTGTGTACACCTTTGACTTCAAGCTCAATGAGAGAAAGAGAAAACAAAAAAGGACAAGTGCAGTTCAAATTATAATGTAATGAATTTCACCACTGATGAATACAGAGAAGGACCTTTCCACCATTTACTAGAGGACAATAGGCCACAGTTATGTCTTCTGTCTAGTCACAAAAAAAAAAAAAACATCTGTGAAGCTGTATACAAGAATTGGACAGAGTAGACTGTATTTCTTCAGGAAGTTTAGGTACTTCAGTGTTTGCTGTGAAGTAACATCCATCATCTTTTAGGATGAGCTCTTGTACCATCATCTGTTTGGTTGCAGCTTCGGAGCAATTAACAAAAAGTCAGGAAGCTATTAGAGCATGATCTTTGTGTTCCTCATAAAATGAAGAACATTGTGGAAAACCTTCCTCATCACATTGTTTTACAAAAACAGAGTGGCCTCAGTCAGAGGCTGCTCCTGTAAGATAAAAAATCCCATAGAAGATCAATCCTGTTGAAAGCCATCAACATTTACAACTCGCTGAAGGAAACCCTATGAGTTCAAACTTTTAATTTCCTCTTGGAGTTAAAATATTTTAGAATTTAATTGAAATTAATTTAATAAAGGTTTTCATTTGAATCTTGGAGTTCTAAATACAGGCACTAACCTAAATAGAAAGCTTAAGGCTTTGCATCCTTTTATGCATATCAGCATAAAAAGTAAATTCTCTGAGCATATATTTAAAATAAATTAGCAGTTGGGCTGTTATCTATTTAGTTTCAGCACCAAGATTTATTTATTTTTTTTTGTCAGGTTCTGGGCTCTCAATGTCAATGCCAGTTACAAACATTATAAAGTGGTTAATCTTGATAAAAAGTAAAATCTTACACATGAGAAATGTTGGGCAAACTGGCAAATGTGTTTGGGGGAATAGAAGCAAGCTTTGTCTTCACAAGCAACCTGAAACAAAAACAATAAATATCAGCTTTTTTCATCACTAGCCTATCTTTAATACAAAGTTTAAATACTTACACGTCCTCTATAGAGCCATGGAAAAAAGGCACAACTTCAACTCCAGAACATGACACCCTCTTGGATTCCCAGTCGCACTTGCAATGTTGCGGACAGTCTTCAAGAGAAAAAGAAAGTCCATTGAATAGGAAAATTAAAAAAAAGATTTTAAAGTCAATCTTCATTTCAAAGGTTTTGATGAACTCAAAAAAGCCCCCTGACAAGTACTAAACTGAGGGACTTCACAAAAGAAAGGGCATTCCAAACCAGCACTCAAGATGTAGCCCTTCAAAATAAAATGTCCTGTTCATATCTTAAAAATAAAATTATCCTTGTCTTAAATAAGATTTCTGGTCAATTTTCTGTTAAACAGAGTATTACAAACAGTAAATATTAAGTAATGGTAATATTAGCACTATACATTTTTTTTTGTTGATACCTTTACTCTAATTGCTTTATATTCTTTTGAAATAGATGTTTTTTCCTATGTCTCATATATTTGTCCAAAAAAGGATTCAGCAAAGACAATGACAATGGAAGCAAGTGCAAAATAAGACAACAAATTATGTATTTTACATCATGAGGAGAGCTGGTTCCAACAATTATTTTAATACTTTCAATATTTTTATTAAATGAAAATGATCAATGATCAATAATTTTTAAGTGTGAAAGTACACCTCAAAATAATATCCTTGCTGTCAGTTTATCGTGATTATGGTCCTACCTTTAAATATTTTGTAATTTTTTCAGATACAGACCCAAAGTATAACTTCCAATAACAGATTTTAGATTGATCAATTCTTTTGAAAGTAGCCAAATTAAGTATGCATTAGAGTTAGGTGTCATGCTGAGTATCCCCTGATAAAGTTTCCTAAGCTTTTTTTTTAGATGGTAATAACTGCAAGAACCAGGATATAAAATTATCTCTTTTTTTGGAGGCAAATTTTCACATTTTGAGTTAATTTAGGTATGAATACTAACTAAATATGAAACATCAGGCCCGCGGTAGAAGTGAGGCCCTGGACCATCCCCTTCATCTTATGCCACAATTTTTTTTTTAAACAAATAATGGGAATATATCAAATTCAATTTCTGTTTTGATTGCTGAGCTACATTCTGGTGCTGGTCAAGCTATCTCTGTCTCAATTAAAATCTTTGTTCTGCGATATCTCTCAGTTACTCTAACTGTCCATAAGCACAGCTTCTTCTGCTGCACTTTTCTACTTGGCACTTGTTGCGTTCACTTGGTTTTTATTTCTAGTAGCTAGCCAAGGCTAGCGCTAGCATAGCACTGCCATGGCTTTTCCCTCTCCCCCTGACTCTTTTCTGACTTTTTTTAACCTTCCTCTCCTCTCTCCTGGTCTGTGTGTCAGATGATCAGTTATTCCTTTGCCTACTTTAGTGATAATAGTAGGATTAATCATTGTGATATTTTTGTAGCTTTGGAGGCGAGATCAGGGACACGTCCACATAGTGGCCCTCCAACAGTGCCTGAGCCAGGCAATTGGGTGATGGTACAATGAAAGTGTAGTATCTAACCAATTTTCCCCAATCAGTGACACACCCACTGGGAAGCCCACTCTGTTGATTGGCAGCTCCATAGTTAGAAACGTGGTATTAGAGGCACCAGGGACCATAGCCAAATGTTTGCTGGGGGGCAGAACGGGCGACATCAAATCCTACCTGAAACCGCTGGCTAAGGAAAAGCTTAAATACAGCAAGTTGTTATTCACACTGGCGGTAATGACACCCACTTACACCAATCAGAGGTCAATAAAATTAGTGTTGCTTTGGTGTGTAAGGTCACCAAAACATTGTCAGACTCCATGAGTTTCTCTGGTCCTCTCCCTCATCTGACCAGTGATGACATCTGCATGTCATCACTCGTAAGATTTGCATGTCATCATTCAACCACTGGTTGTCAAGGAAGGGTCCTAAAAAACAAATTGGGCTATATTAATAATTGGCAATCTTTTTGTGGGAAACTTGGTCTGATTTAGAGAGACAGCATCCATCAATTTGAATGGTGCAGCTCTTCATTCCAGGAATCTGGCCAAATGTTTTTTTGTCCTCCAAAAACCCTGACAACCCAATGGTGCAGACCAGGAAGAGTCATAATTTTAACACGTCTTTGCAGCTTCTCTACTGTTACCTACTCATTACACCATCCAGACAGTATCTTACCTAGCCTGACGTAGTCCGACTCAATTCTAGTCAGAATATGAGTCTGATACTGCTCCATAGAGCTGTGATTATGGGGCGTGTTTTGAACGAACCAGGGAAAAAAATGCCTCTGCACTCAATTGGATAGACCTACAACCAATAAGAGCAAAGGAGTGCGTGACGTATCTTAAGCGAGGCATAGTTGTTGTCCACAAAAATCAAAGCGTGCAGTTTCACGCCTAGAATAAGAAGATGAGCCTTGATCGCGTTTCTCTGTTCCTCTTTTAAAATTATTTTGCTGTCGATATCTTCTAGAACAGACCTAATAGCAGAATCTACTCACCCAAACTCTCCAGCGGCAGCCATTATTGTTGTCACCCAAGCGCGCATTGGTCACGTGGTTGATAACGTTACTCTTGATCATCTGTCCATCATCGTATAAAGCCCGCCCTGACAATTTGATTGGATCGCCTGACAGTGGGCTTTAATACTCGCGCTACTATGGAGCAGAGCCAGACCGAACTTCCCCGAACTCAAACCTTGTGGGCGGGACTAAGTTCGGACTGGCACCCAGGCTATATCTTACCCACAACCAAAATCAAATGAATAAAAAAAAAGAATCTTAATGATGTCATGGTCCTTTTGGTGTTGGTTGGCTTTTTCATCTGCTCCTGCTCACCTGTCTAATTGGCCTGGCTAGTGACTTTCGTCAATCTGTTTCACCTAGATCCCGCAGCTAATTATGCTGTTTGCTTGCCCGCCATCAGCACCAGATTATTCTAGCTGTTTCAGTGAGATTAATTCTAGCATTCAAGGAAGTGTTTAGACATTCTGATTCCGACTTGTTTTCTGCCGCTGGATATTCATGTTTTTGCCTTGTCCCTCTCTGCTCTGCTCAGTTTCGTATTTGTACTGACTTCCTGGAATCTGCTCGATATCAAACTTGGACTGTGTTACTGACCTCGGCTCGGATTGTCCTTCTGTACCCTTTGGCTCTCTGATCTCCTGGTCTGTCAACCTGGTTTGGATTGTACTCTGGCTTTGGATTATCGCTCATTGACACTGTTGCTTCCTCTGGATCGGATGGCACCAGCTCCTCTCCACCCTGTGCTCTGAAGCGGTAACGATCACAAGCAGCAGACAATCTCCCCCCAGATTCCTCCTCTCCCTCTGGAATCGGACTGAACTCTCAACCAGGTCAGTGGTTTTTTCCTCCTAGTCGTGATCAGCTCGACATTCTTGTCACTGACCTGAGTTTCCTGTTTCTGCAGAGAATCCGGCAATCCGCCCCGCAGATGTTCAGCAACTCACTTTAGTTTCTGAAATAAAATTGTTTGAAAACTGTCCTGATTTTGTCTGCTTCAATATTGGGTCCAAGGTTCTGAAGTCATTATTAAAGGAGTAAATCATGATAATGTAATTAATACTGATATAACTCAAATTCAGGAAAAAGTAAAAACTATTAAAGGGATAGTTCGGTATTTTTGACATGAATCTGTATGTATAAAAACCTGCCGGACTACTTTCGGCTTGACCAAAACTGGACGATAACTCTGCTCACAGGACGCTGCCAGGGGTAAGTCAGTGTGATTGCATGCCACTGGTGATGGGGATGCCATACAGATTCATGTCAAAAATACCGAACTATCCCTTTAAATGTGGTTTATTTAACAGGTCTTTTTATTTAGAAAGTTCTTATGACTTGATTTGTTATTATCAAATTTATTTATGTTGCCTTACAGAAACTTGGCTGCAGCAAGAGGATTATGTGAGCATAAATGAGGCAACTCCCTATAGTTATTTCAATTTTCACATACCCATAAATTTTGGGTGATGAGGAGGTGTAGCAACAATCTTTCAGTCTGACTTACTGATTAATCCAAAGTCAGTTAATAATTACAACTCTTTTTAACATTTTCTATTTAGTCCTTCCTGTCATTGGAAGTACCGTCACCTCCTATTCTATGGAGGATAAAAAGTGCCAAAATGAAATAAATAAATACAGCATTAAATAAATAATTAAATGTGTCAATAATTAATTAAATGTGGCGGCGGGGTTAACGCGAATTGAGTCGCCACCTACTGTATCAGAGTATGTTCACTACCTGTGGATCACAGTCTCTGTAATCGATTTGCTTCGCCTTAATGTGCAGGGTGACCAATCAGGTGTTAGATAACCGCCCCCTAACTTTGATGGGTGAGTTTGAGAGATTCTTTTAATGGTTTCGATGTACTGCGACACAGGACCATGAAATAATTAAATGCACACTGAAATAATTATTTATATTTTTTAATAAAATGAAGACGTATTTTATTAAATTAATGACACATTTATATATTTAATTCCTTATTTATTTAATTAATTACACATTTAATTAATTGTTTCTCGCTGTATTTATTTATTTATTTAATTATGGCACTTTATATTAGTGACGTGGTTTTAATTAATGAATGACACATTTATTTATTTAATTCCACATTTAATTAATTATTGACGCATTTAATTATTTATTTAATGCTGTATTTATTTATTTTTTTAATTTTGGCACTTTTTATCCTCCATGCTAGTCCAATCAAATAGTTTGGCAGTTAATGCGGCTTTTTAAAAGTTTGTTTTAATTTATTCTGGTAAAATATATAAGGTATATAATGCCTTTAAGGTAGATACAGAAAATGAGTGAGCCTACATTTTTCCTTCTGTGTTTGGTCACCAATTGTGTGCACAGACTTTTTGAGGGGCAGGGGCAAAAAGTACTGGGTTAGACTTATTTGAC